TCTCTCTCTCTCTCTCTCTCTCTCTCTCTCTCTCTCTCTCTCTCTCTCTCTCTGTGTGTGTGTGTGTGTGTGTGTGTGTGTGTTTGCAAGCCTGGGAAACATGGAGAAAATTCTTCACTGCAGCAACCCAGCGAGCGATACGCTTTGGAAACCAGAGCCTTAAAAAGCGAACCGATGATGGGTGTGAACAAATATGGGTGATCTGCTGAACTTAGCCGGGTAGCCAATGACGGCCCCTTTTTCCCCCCTCTCCAGCATCAATTTTTTCCTCCCCCCCCCTTCCCCCACCCTTTGTCCCAGAGAGAGAGAGAGAGAGAGAGAGAGAGAGAGAAGTAGATGAGGAAAGGACACCTGGAAAGCTGTGTGTGTTTCATGGTGGTTCAATTTTATTATTATTTAAGGCGCATTGGGAGGGAAGAAACAGCTGCACCAAGGTATGGATCAACAGCAGCATCTACTGGCAAATGTAGGGACTGAGCCTTGGTTAATAGGCTCTGCAAAGAGGCAACTGCAATAAATACAAAATGAACAAATGGAACGAGAGGTGTGTTTTTTTCCTGGTCCTTAGGGGGAAAAAAACACAAAGGGCTTTGACAGCATGAACCATTCCTAGCTTTGGTGGGCTTTGCAAACTAGCCCTTGGGGGGTTCAGGGATGTGTTTAATGGGCAGAGAAGAAAAACTTCTACCGATTTGATTAGTTAACTTCTTCTGTTGCGTGGAATGATACAAAAAAAGAGATTTGATCAGGAGCAGAGGTGGTATTCAGCAGATTCTGACCAGTTCTAGAGAACCGGTAATGGAAATTTTGAGTAGTTCAGAGAACTGGCAAATCCCACCTCTGACTGGAGATTTTACAGTCTCCTTCCCCTGCCACGCCCACCAAGCCACGCCCACAGAACTGGTAGTAAAAAAAATTGAATCCCACCACTGATCAGGAGGAACCTGTGCTGTCCAAGGTTCTGGACAAGAGTTGGGATGGTTTTAGACCCAGATCCTAGTCCACTTGTCAACCAGGGAAGTCCTCGTTGCTTGACTTTGGACCAACCTGTCTTGAAAAATTATTGGGATCTATTGAAGTGGGGTGGCTAATATATTCAAATATGTAAACAAGAAGAGGCATGCTATATGCACTGCTTTGAATTTGAATTCTTTATTGTCATTGTACATATATACACAGTATACATAACAATGAAATTCAGATTACACCCAGAGTACCAGACCCAACACGCACACACACATGACAATCCCCAAACACACTCCCACCCACCAAATTTCCACACCCCCCTAAAAACACACAAGCATCCACACAACAGACCAAGTAATACTTGTCCAACAGCTCACTGATGGTGGTCCTTAAGTTCATTGTTAAGTGCAATTATAGCTCTGGGCTAAAAACTGTTTGACCAGGGGGTGTTTAAAAATAATCGCAGTCACAACAGCTTGGCTGGCTGGGCAACTCTGGGAGTTGAAGTCCAGAAATCATAAAGCTGCCAAGGTTGAGAAAAACACTGAAACAGTAAACACATTGTCTTATTCCTGTGAAGATTAATGTATTGATTGCCTCTTGCTCCATGTTAACTTTGTATAATGGTCCGTGGCTTTATCATATACTTGAAATGATCTCTGCGCTAAGTCAAAATCCAGTCATCTGTTTTGCGAAATGGTGCTTAATGCAACCCACAATCCTTCCAGGAGAAAATTCACTTCTCCTGCTTCATTTAGCAGAGAAGAAATTTGCGACTAAACCCAGACCTGCTCAGCTTCTGTCAGCCCAGCTAAATGAGGGGTGAATAATGAGAAATATAATCTAACAATATTTGAAGGAGCATAGGTTCTTCAATGCAGAGAATCATTTTGTGATTCTCTATTTGACCAGCTTTTTCTTCCCTCTTTCTAATGTTAGCTTAATCATACGTTTGGTCAGAGAGAGGTTGAGATTCCAACAAGCTTGAATATTGTTTTTCACCCACAGTTGTGGAGATAAATGATACCTAAAACAAGGTGTAAACATTAAAGTGTCCTGCAACTTGAGCTAGTAACTTCATGCTCTCTTTCATTCATTTGTTCATAGATTTTTAGCGTAATTTTTATTTGTAAATAAATAAAAATGGTTTTGCCAATTATCTAAGAATTTTACTTCCGCTTTGACCTCTCTTTTCTGAATTAGAAGGTAAACAGCTACCTAAACTTTGAATTAAGTAACGCATAACTTACTTTGCTGTCTGGTTTTATCAGTCCAAAGAAATTGGTGTGCCTTAATCCTATTTTGTACAATATAAATCCAACCTAAGGGTAAAAAAATACAGGATAAATTTTAAAAGCTTATAATTTACAAATTTCTTCATGCATTTCTTTCCTTTTCACTTTTGTAATGCTTCAAAACAGCCAAATTGCGTGAATGGTTTTAGATTTCAATAAAATATTGGACAATTAAGGCTGAACAGCTACATATTCCTTGAACATATTTCTTAAAAAGAGGCAGAGGGTTTGCCTCTATAATCTGAGTTACTGTGTTTTGTCTAACGGTCTTTTCATTTCAAACTGTGAACACCACTGAAATTAATGCTTACCTCCTGGGCTAGTGCTAAAAGAGCAGCAATAAGGAGCATCCTGCTGGGGGAAAACAGCCCTTAAGGGGCATTGCAGATTTTCACTGACAGGCAGATGGCAATGGTATGTAGGAACAGCAGCTTTTGTAAAGCAAAGCATCACAGCAGATGTTGGTAGGAAGGTGAGAATGGAAGAGAAAATAGTCCAGGATCTTTCAAACTTTGCAATTTTAAAACGAATGGACTTCATTTCCTAGAATTCAATTCCTGGCCAATCTAGTCAACTATACAACTCAGTCTTTATTAAAGAACCCATTTTAATCAATATCAGAATACATGCCTGGTTTCAAAATACAATTTTAAAAAGAAGATTGTTCATTTGCCTTACTTTTACAAATACTATGTGAATTCTTAGTGGGATTTGTCTCCAGTTGAACTGATAAAAATATATTTGGTTTCCCCCCGTTTTTTATTATAAATCTTAGCACTATGTTCTTTTGTATGTTGATTTTTGTGTAACATGTTTACACATTACTGCATTAACATTAGTTAAATAACTTAGAACATTGAGAATAGAAAAAAAAATCCATCAATGTCACTATTTGGCATTGTCACATATACACACATATATGGGGGGAAAGTACACAAAGCAAATTTAGTAAGAATTCATTATTGTATCTGGAAGTTATATATTTTGTATTTATTTTATTTGGTTTGTCAATTGCTTACAAGATAATAGGTATAAGTGAAAACATAGTTATGAATACATGGATACATATAAGAAAAATAAAAGAAATAATAATAGGACAGGGACGGTAAGCAGGTTGGTGCGCTTAAGCACGCCCCCTACGATTTTTATGCTAAAAACATTCCCTGAAAATCACAATAGGAAAAAAAAACTATTAATATTACAGACCTAAAGAATTGAGTCAATTCCTGGTACTATATAGACAAATCCAAGCAGTTTTCCTGCAGTACATTTCTACGTAACATTTCCATTATTTTCCTACAAAGCAGTTTTCTGCTTCCAAATATATCCAGCTGATGTAGGAATCATGTTCAGGGCCAAAAATTCATTTTAAGAAATCCTCATCAACAAAATATTTTGCAAGAAAATGGAGGACTAAAAGATTTTTAGGCGAAAACCCTATAAAAGAATTCTTATGGGTGAATGAAAAAAAAAATCCCTCTTAAATCCTGAATTTGGCCTCTCCCTATTCAAGATTCATGAAACCTCCGCTCCGGCTTTTTCACTACTTCTCTCCCTTGCTGACCACAAAAACAACAACCAAAAAAACACCAAACCCAAATCCTATTTTATCTTATTTTTCTTCCTTTTCCTTGGAGGGATTACTGGATCAGAACTCTAAGCCACGCGGAACTCTCTCTCTATGGTCAAGGTTTCCGGAGGGGATTTAAAAGCAATCGGGCCACCTATCGCATCAATTGCGTCCGACCTCGCACCGTCGCTGATTGGTAGCTTGTCCGATAGCTCCGCCTGGTGTCTGATTTGAAACGGTGCGTCTTGATTGGACACAGCGGAAAGCGGGGCGGGGAGGTGTCATCCCACTTCCGGGTATGGGATCACGGTAATGGGGGTTGCAAGGTAGTTTGTGTAAGACCGGAAAAGTGGGGGGGAGTTGTGGGGTGGATATATGTCTTGGGGAGGGGGTCACAATTATAAATATGAGGAGCTGGTTATATAAATCCGGGAAGATGGAAGGAGCTAGAGTTGCTTTCCCCACTCTTGCAGGTTTGAACATTGGATTGCAGTGCCCATCATCCACAGCAAGTGTAATAGGTGGATTGAGAGGGGTGTTTTTCTTTGGGGGTTCATACATTCTTGCTAAATATGGGGAGCCTGGCTACGTAAATCCAGAAAGAGGATAGATAGAAGAGGGATAAAGTTTCTTTCCCAAGTCTTCCATGTTGGGCATTGGATTGCAGTGTCCATCATCCACAGCAAATGTAATAGTTGGGCATGATGGACATTCCTGTCCAAAACAGGTGGGGGGTGCTGGTTAGAAGAGATGGAATTGAATGGAAAGGATGGAGTGGAGAGTGCCAGGTTGAGGCCATGGCTGAATCGGTGGGGATGGGAATTGTAGTCCAATGGTTATGGAAGGCAATGGATGGGAAACCATGCCAGGGGAATGGAATGAAATGGGTAATGGAATTCTTCCAGACATGGATGAGGAGGGAGTTTAGAGCAATGTTTCTCAATCCCAGCAACTTTAATTCAGTGAATTTGTTTCAATTCCCAGAATTCCCCAGCCAACAATTGAAGTCCAGACTTCTTAAAGCTGCCACGGTTGAGAATCTCTGGTTGGAAGGTGAGACTGGGAGTTGATCTTAAGGCAGTTGACATCTGTCAGTCTAGCTTACCTTGTAGGATCATGATCGGGGTGTTTATGTATCTGATTTGTTAATAAATAGTTATTAATTGTTGTAACTCCCTGACTATTTTCACCATGGACGATGACATAGCTGCATTTTGGCTTAAAGTGTTTGTCCACAAAGGTCTTGGAATTAATTTAGGACAGTCTCAACCTTGGCAGCTTAAAGATGGGTGGACTTAACTCCCTGAATTCCCATAACTGTCTGGAGAATTCTGGGAGTTGACGTCCATCAACTGCGAGCTGTTATGGTGAAAAAAGCTGGTTTGGGAAATCCAGAACATTTGGCGTCTTGAGTCATCCTTAATTATGTTTGCCTCAAAGTCAAACTGGAATCTCAACATTTTCGTAATATTAACATAGCAGAGGCTTGCAGCTAGATTCTGTTTTCTTCTTCTTGGAATTAAGACCCATAGAATTGAACTTCTCAGAGTGTGTGGCATTTTAATCAGAGACGATGTCGAAAAAAGATCAAGCTAGTTGAAGGATTCTCTCGAGTTCTAATTGCTGCTGGGTTGGGATGCTTAACAAGTAGACTTGTTGTGTCTTGATCAGGGACTCTTGAGCAATTTAATTTAGTTCCATCACTTCAGCAAGTCCAAAAATATGTCAGTAACACTGGCAATTGAATGGATGTATGGAAAATGGGCACATGTAATTTTGCATATATGCCTTACGTGGAAAGTGAAAAATGGAAGATAGAGTGATCTCTTTCTTGCTTGATTACCCATCAACTGGGATGTTTCCTTAATCCAGCACAAGATGGAGTAGATTGTCCAACGCCCTAATTCTGAATTTATAACCTCCATTTGTGGTTTTTAAAAGCTCTTGGGCCTTACTGGCAAAGAACAAGAGGAGGAGATATTTAAGAACAGAACCTGTGTGGCAAGTCCTGGCGAGAAAAGAACTAAATTTAGCTTGCAAAAAAGGACCAGATTTTTTTTATTTTTCCCTCCCCATGTAGGTGAAGCAATTCTGAATCATTAAACGTTGGCGAGCAGTCTGGTGCTGTTAAAATTAAAAATAGTTAGCAGACAGACAGCTTCCAGTGCAGTAAATGAATGGGGGGGGGGGCTACTTTTGATGTATATATGTATATTTCCCTTGTGGCGCCTTTGAGTCAGTGTTGACTTCTGGCAAGTGCCTAGAGAAATCCTGCAGTTTTCTTGGCAAGATTTCTGAAACAGAGCTGAGAAGAATGACTGATCCAACATCACCCAGCTGGCTTTCTGCCTGAGGCAGGAGTAGAACTCATGGCTTCTCCATTTCTAGTTTGGTGACCAGACTGGCTCTCTGACGTATAGATACCCTCTCAATTTCTTTAATCCGATGTTGTCATCTTTTTTAAAAAATATTTTTTTAAAATTTTGCTATATAAAGAAAGAGCAACAGTTTCAATGTCTATATAAACAGTATGTTGTCTGGTTACAGTTAGCAATAACCATAATAGTAATGTTCATTAGTGGTGGTCATATAATAACAGTGTTTTCTCATAATAATATTAATACTTATTAATTATACCATGGTAAGCCCTCATGGTTAAATTAGTCCTTCTCTTATAATTTTAAATGTTCTAACTTCTGTTTCTGCTAGTTAACCATTGATAAAACGAATCCCATATTTCAAAATATTCCGTCTCTTCCTTCTCTTTAATTTCAAGTGTTAATCTATCCATTTCTGCATATTCTAGTATTTTTTATTATTATTATTATCTTCTCTTCTGTAGGGATCTCCACACCTTTCTAGTTTTGTGATGACCCAAAGGGGCGTGGCACAAAGGCAACACAGTCAGATAATCAGTAGGAGTCCCTTTATTAACTCCAACTTTGCCCGCAATGTGCTGGTTACCTTCTGGGCTGGAGAAAAACTCTCCCAGGAACAGCCTTTGGCTGCAGAGAATCAAGTCCAAAACATGGTCAACAAAAACTATAACTATAAGTTAAATCAAGGCAAAATGAGGTCATTAGTCCAGCAGGCCAGGAGCAAGAATTCCAGACATGAAGGCACAGCAATAACTCAACACGATTGGGAAGATGCCAGGAACACTGATAACTAAAGTCAACATAAGATAAACTCACATTTGCTCCCAGCAGATGCCACACTCAGCTTGCATTCCTTTTAAACTCTCACTCCCAGGTATGGCTAATGAAGGGAATCAGGGCCCTTTCCTCCCCCATAAGCCATGCAACCCATGTTGCTCCCTTCTCCGTTGTTCCCTGTGTGCCCTAGGATGAAGAGGGGGTGGGCCTGGGTCTTCCTCCGAACTCCCTCTTCCTTGCTCTACCTCTCCCCTGCTCTGCCCAGCCAGACTTTGCCCTTCCCCAGCCTCCTCCACAGCCAACGGAGCCATACTCCCACTCCCTGTCAGCTGTTCGTCTTCCTCCTCAGATTCAGACTCCGACAGGAGCATGACAAGTTTGGTGCCTTCACCACTAGATCAGACTGGCTCTCTGACATACAAATACCCTCCCAATTTCTTTAATCCGATGTCTTCTAAATGGCTTAGAATTTGCAGGGAATTCTGGGGATAAATTGGCAAAAAGAAAAACAACTTGTAGAGGTAATCTTTGACCCACAACCATTTATTTAATGACCATCTGAAGTCACAAAAGCACTGAAAAAGTTCCTTACAGTCGGTCCTCACACTTAACCAATGCAGCATCCCCAGGGTCACATGGTCAAACTTTGGTTTCTTGGCAACCAGTGTGTACATACAGGTGGCCCCCAACTGACTGTTGTGCTCCGTTGGCAGCTTGCGGAGACGGCAGCGGAATTGGACAGTGGGGAGGAACATGGGCCAGTCTGGGAGTCCGGGGAGGACTCGGACGAGGGTCCTGTGTCTGATGCAGAGATGGGGCCAGGACCATCTGGGAGTGGGGTGCTGACTCAGAGCCTCCAGAGTCTGGCAGCAGCGAGGCAGAGGAACAAGGGGAGCCTGTTCCCAGTGCGCATATGCGCAGAGCTGCTAGAAGGCAAGAGCAGCTAAGACAAAAGGGGTGACTTGGGAGTAAGGCTGGGAGGTGATTGCCCTTCTCATAAGATATAAAGGAAGTACAAAGGGACAGGAACCTTTGCAGGAAGCAACGTTGTTCTCTCTGTTCGGATTAAACCTTGAAGCTCTGTGTGTCAACTCATAAAATATTTTTGTGGTCTTTTAGAGTTGCCAACAGAAAGGGAGGAGGGAGCAGTGGGCAGCTTGCATTCCATAAATGTTTTCAAAGATAGTAACTAGGTGACTGAAGTTTCTGCCACGCAAAATTCTAACTGGAGAGATTGATGACTTTTGGCTATGAATGTGTCCCATTGGAGAATATGAATTACGATACACCCAGGGGTTGGGGGAAAACTAGGGTCAAAGGTGACAATGAATGATGTGCCTCAGAGTCGGCTACACCCAGGCAACGCCGGCATGTTTACTCCTAATAAAACTTCTTTAAGTTTGAAAATCTGGCTAGAGACTCATGATTTAAATGGGGGTAACTACCGGAGCCCTGACAGCTAGCCGACTCTCCTAATAAATCAATTACTGGGGTCCTGGGTCCTGGCTTCTCCGATCGTTCCCCGATATCTGGGATGCGTAGAGAGAAACCGGCAGCCATGGCAGAGATCGGGCTATCAGGACTTTGTACTTCGTTTGGCTTTTTACAGTTAATTTGGCACTTTAGTTGTCAGCACTTCAAAGGAGAGAAAGGTGGGTGCTTATCTCGAGGAAATGTTTGGGACTTATTATGGGCTGGGAATGAACATCATTCCCAGTGTTAAAACAAGAGTTGTTTTAACTAAGCGTGTGCTTAATTACGGTCTCAGGAAGCCTTGGTCAGAACACTTACCCCACTTCATTTAGCGACCATTCGAAGTTGCCACGGCCCTGAAAAGAAAGGACCATTTCCCAGACCGTGGCAGCCTCCCCACGGTGGCGTGATGAAAATCCAAACCAACTCGTATTTATGACGGTCGCAGTGTCTTGAGGTCGCGTGATCCCATTTTGTGACCTTCTGACAAGTAAGGTTTGTCCAACACAAGACCTTTTGTGTGTTTGGCGAAGGCTGTGGCTTCCTGGTTCTAGGCTGAACCAGGCCCATAAAACGTAGATATGAATTCTATGAATATTTACGGGACATCCGTTCATTCTTGAACGCCTATAACCCGGCAGTGTGTTACTTGGAGGCTGGCTCTACTCTCATGTGCCACTTCTTAGCTTGGCCATCAGCCATTTTATCTATTTAAATCTTTTGGCTGTCGGTTAAAGCTCCACAGACCAGCATGGGACACTGCTCTGCCTTAGAAGCTCCTATTTTTCCACAAGGTAGGACAGTACGATATTCACGATGACACCCTCAAAGATTTAGGAGAGAAGGTCTTACGTTTTCTTGGTCCTCTCTTTTCTCGGTCTCCCAGTTAGGATTTGTTTTTGCATGAGGCATTTTTTCCTTTAAAAAAAAAGAAAAAGATCCATGGAGCAGGCCTCCTTTTAGCCTGCCTCCCTAGCATGGATTGCAATATTGAATGGCTGGAAAAGCTCATCCGAGAAGCACCGTTAAAGTGAATGGTTGTTCTCTCTATCGGCAGTGAGGGTTCCTTGAAGGTTCATTGGGCCAGGCTTGTCTTGATGGCCAGTTTAAATTCAGCTGAATGTGGTTTTAAGAGCACCAAACGTTGCTTTGCTTTATCTCTGCAGGGAGGAAGGATTCCTACATTAACAGTTCCACAGAAAGGGTTTTTCTTAGGGTTCCTTAAATAGATAACAGATAATAGATAACAGATAATCAGAGTTGGAAGGGACCTTGTAGGTCATCTAGCCCAACCCCCCGCCCAAGCAGGAGACCCTACACCATTTCTGACAGATGGCAGTCCAATCTCTTCTTGAAGGTCTCAAGTGATGAAGCTCCCACAACTTCCGAGGGCAACTTCTGTTCCATTAGTTGATTGTTCTCCCTGTCAGAAAGTTTCTCATTTCTAGGTTAAATCTCCTTGTTCAGTTTCCATCCATTATTCCTTGTCTGACCTTCAGGTGCTTTGGAGAATAGCTTTACCCCTTCCTCCTCTCTGGGGCAGCCCCTCAAATATTGGAAGACTGCTATCCTGTCTCCCCTGGTCCTTCTCTTCACTAGACTAGCCAAGTCCAGTTCCTGCAACCGTTCTTCATATGTTTTAGCCTCCAGTCCCCTAATCATCCTGGTTGCTCTTTTCTGTACTTTTTCTAGAGTCTCAACATCTTTTGTATAGTGTGGTGACCAAAACTGGATGCAGTACTCCAGGCCTTACCAAAAGCCTTTACAGCCTTACCAAAGCTTTACAGAGTGGTATTAGTATCTTCCTTGCTCTCGATTGTATCCCTCTGTTAATGCAATTTAGGATTGCATTAGCTTTTTTTGGCTGATGCTGCACGCCGCTGGCTCCTATTTAGCTGGTTGTCCAGCAGCTAATACCTTTGTTGGAGCAGCTAATGCCTTTTGCCAATGAATATGGCAAAATATTCACCCTTCCCATTCAAGCAGGAGGCCCCTCCCATTCATTGCAGTTATTAAGTTAGTAACCATTGCAAAAAAAAGGTCGTAAAACGGGACAAAACTCACTTATCAACTGCCTGATTGAGCCGTGGAAATGTTGGGCCGCTCAACCGTAGTCGTACATCGGGGACTACCCATAGACCAGGGATCCCCAAACTTGGCAACTTGAAGACTTGTGGACTTCAACTCCCAGAATTCTCCAGCCAGCCGTGCCTGTTTCTTTTTTCTCTTAACCTCCTAAAGTGGAGAGATTGCAGAGGAAGGGATTACAAGAGAGTAAGCTGTGCTGGCTGGAGAATTCTGGGAGTTGAAGTCCATAAGCCTTAAAGTTGCCAAGTTTGGAGACCTCTGGCATAGACAATTTTTTTTAAAAAAAAAGTCATTTCAAAGATGACTTTTGGGATTTCCGCTGCTGTTCTTGCCTCCCTGACGTTGCCTGAACGATCTCCCTGTAGAGACTCTTAGAACTTTATCTCGAGTGAGAAGATCGGAAGCGGCTTACTTAGCCCTGGGTTTAGTTGGAGCAGCAAACCACCTTCCAGAACCAGCCAGTCCCAAGTACAGTAAAGCATGTTCTCTGTCTCTGGATCCAGTGGCTTGTCTCAGGTGGGAGCAATGGATGGCCAGGTGATTTTTGGCATTTTCTAGAGTTTTGACTTGTTTAGTGTGGGGTCCTTGCCTCTAGTTTACAGACCGACAGAGTTGTTGTTGTTGTTGTTGTTATTATTATTATTATTATTATTATTATTATTATTATTATTATTATTATTATTATTATTATTATT